TTTCCTTGTTGAACATCTATTCTAAGGTGTAATTGGATGGCACCAACTACAATGACTGGATGCGCAAGGTAAAAATGACCCTTCGTTTCAAGGACAAGGTGTATGTCCTTGAGAGACCATTAGATGAGATCGATGAAGAGAAGGTCACTCCTGAAGAAATGGTCGTCTACAAAAAGCACTATAATGATGCGACAAAGTTGTTTGGATCATGGTGGCCACAATGACTCCTAAATTGCAGAGATACTATAAGGATTATTGGCTGTAGGAGATGAACAAGGACCTTATAGAGAAGTACCATAAGCGAGATCATCAGGAAAAGTACGAGGTGGTAAAGTCCCTCGTAGCTACAAAGATGAAAGAGGGTGAATCTATTAGTAGCCACATTCAAAGAATGCAACGATACTTGGATAGGCTTGTCAAGCTTAATGTGAATTTTGATGAAGAGTTGGCAATCAACATAGTGTTGAACTCCTTTCCAACCTGTTATGATCAGTTCATCTTGACTTATTATTTGAACACCAATGAAACTATGTTTTCTCAATTGCACAACCTCCTGTGAACAGCTGAAGTTGGGATGAAGGGAAAAAGTATATCCTCCACTCCTACTAGTGCTCTCGTTCTGGCCATTGGTCAAATGAAAGTGAAAAAAGAGGAAAGGTCCTCCTAAGGTGTTGTTTGTTTTTCTTGAAAAACCTCTTTAAAGCTCTTATTACTGAAGGGCGCAACACTTTTAGTCCCACATCAGTTTGTTTTTCGAAAGTCTTCGGGGCTTAAAACCTCTGCCCGTGTGCTTCTTAGGGAAGCACTTGTTGTACCTCTTCCCACCCCTTCAAACCTAAAATCCGACCCCAAAAAAACATACGACCGTTATTTTTCCTCAAGCAATTGAAACCCATTGCGCATCATCTCTGCCCATCAATCTCCACCTCGCCGTCGCCCCACCTTGTCATCGTCAAAGCTCGTCGGTGCCTCCTTCTTCCTTCTTCGTCCGACAGTCCAACGATTCCTCACACGTATATTTTTTTCCTGTTTCTATCGATTCCTCATGAATTTGGCATTTGGATTCATTTGAAATCATAAATTGGTGTTGTTTTCCTTTATTTCTGTATATATGTTGCTGAATATCCATAAATTTCGGCTCCTTCTTCCCTCTTCCTCCAGAAATTGTTTTCTTGTTTTTTTTTCTTAGTTGAAGATGATGTTGTTGAATCAGAAATTGTTGTTGATTTTGTTTTTTTGATGCAAGTTTATTGCTGAATTGTTATTGAAATCAGTTTTTTTCCTGATTGGATGCTTGTTATGTTGATTTCTTGGATCCAAGTGTGAAATCTATTGAAGTTCTTGCTGATGGAGTTGTCCAGGTTTTTTTGGACAATTTTACCCTTTCTGATATCGATTGAAGTTTTTACTGAATGGATCTTTGAATGGAATCTGCTATTCAAACCTTGTTTTGACGATTTTACCCTTGTTGACATCCCTCAGGTGAATGCTCAATGTTGGAGGATTTTGTGGGTGGTGGGGTTGGATGGGGGTTGAAGAAAAAGAAGAAGTAGTTTCCTGGTGAAGAAGATGGAAAGTTGTGCATTTGTGATATGAAGTTGAGGAACTGCCTCTACATGTTACATATTGTAATGGAAAAAAAACAAGCTTGCATGATTAGATGTGTAGTTAGAGTGTTAGGAGATTTATTTATAAAAACAACCATTCAAATGTTGTTGGGATTTTATTAGAATTCAAGGTTATAGAGTTGTGAATTTTTAAAAAGTTTGGAAATTGGAGCAGTCTGCAGCCATTTTCGATTTATTAAATAAGTTTATTTTAATTTTTTAGTGTTTGCAGCAATCTGCAGATGTTAACAAAAACAAAAACACTTCTTATTATAGTCTGCAGCCGTTTGGTCCACCTCTTCTGCAGATGTTAACAAAAACAAAAACACTTCTTATTACAGTCTGGATACAAATTAAGAGAAAAGGTGTTACACGACAACAACCAACACTGTTGGACAATCTCTTAGATCCTACCTACACACTGTTTGTAAAGAATGGAATGGATCATTGTTGTTTGGTCACAATTATTTAACTGGTTTTGTTACGCTTGAGTTTTGGACATGGTTATATGTGGATAGTCATTGAGGATGATTGTCATGTAATGTAAGCAATATATTTATTTGCTATTACATAACACACTTCTAATAACAATACTTACTTTACTGCATTAAAATTAATTAGCAGCACATCATGATGTGGATCTCATTGTTGTTAGAGCGTAGAGTGGATGATGCTCGGTAGACAGTTCTGTCGTCAGCTTTCAACACTGATACATATGACTAGAGTGACATGCATGACGGATCCGTCTACCCAACTTGGGAAAAGTGTGATACGATATAATTTTGTTTGGAGTACATTACCTGAGTATTTACATACTAATTTATTATTTCTAACCTTTTTTGTAGCTTTACACCCCAATCAACATACCACAAGGTCATTGGTTTTTGGGTACTTTGGATTTGAAAACATTCTAAATGACTATATACGATAGCCATTGGAAGGGTGGCTACTATTCGTAAAATGAGGATTGGTTTATAGGTCTAAGACCACATATCCACAAACTACTAGTAAGAGTCCAATACTGAGATACCAAACTAGCTGATTAAATTCCATTTGAGAGCTTCAAGGTGACCCTCAAAAAGGCCCTAGACGTACCACAATAGATTGATAGCATTGGGGATTATGAGGTGTTTTGTGTTGGTTCCTGGAGGCGTCGATTATCGAGAAATCGATTTCTATAAAGGATAAAACCACCGGTCCATGGCCCAACGTTGTAGAAAACGACTAGCGGAAATATATTGGGGTACAAAGACAAAGATAATTTGGACATCGTATTTGTAATATGACCTACAGACACATCCTTTATTTACTTTATGTGTTTATTAGTTGTTTGTTCATTCTAATTGCATTTTATATTTTTTTTTACATACCAAAAATTATACATTTTATAAAAGCAAAACTTATACATTTTATGAAAGAAAAACTTACATGCCAAAAAAATCAAATCTATTACGAAACCATGGTCCGAAATCGTACTCCGAAATTCTGGAGACCTCTCCGGAACAATGATTTCCGAAAAATGTGGTTACTTTACCAAAAAAAATATGGTCATATTTGTCAAAAAAAAGCTATTTATAAGGGTTAGATTACTCAAATTAGTTAGTTATTTGAATAATAACATATAGACAAAAAATTATAAAAAAATAAAGTAGTCATTTTATATAAACCAAAGACCAAAACTATAAGTAAACAAAACCACAAATATAAGCCCCATCAATGAGAGCCCAGTAGTTGATGAATAAAAATTCCACACATAAGGTCCAATGTGTAAACTCTAACACATCTAAATATTAGTGTTTCACGATTCACCTCCCATATAAACTTAAAATGGATTGACATAGATCGTTCAGATGGTATGGTTAATCATTTTCACCCAAAAGCACAAATATATAACCTATAAATTCTTTATCAAAGAATTTAACCAAACCTTTCTAAGTGAGTGTTTGAGATTTTTCAAAACAATTTAATGTCTTATTGATTTTTTTGAAAAAGCAATAAGTAAAAAAATGTTGGGAAATGACTTAGGAGGATGGTAACTACCTCTTATCCGTGTTCACATATTGACAACTTCTTTTTTTGTACATAAGAAAGCAGCTAACTTCTTTTAACTATTTAAATTATACTAATATTACTGGCTAACCTCCATTTGAACTGGTAACTCAAATTAACTCATTTAAAAGAAAGGGAAAAGAAATTACATGGCATACACATCACCTCATTATATAAAGGGTGTTATTTGTTTCATTTGTCGTTACAACCCTAGATCGACAATGGCTTCTTCTTCTACTTCATCTACCTCTTCCAAACGCAATATGGGTTGCAACCTGATCATCCATGTAAGTATGACATGCCGACGTGTGTGAAAATTTCAAGAACACCCGACAATCCACACAAAAAAATCGAATTTGTCAAAACTGTTTGGTAAATATGTTTATTTTTAGTCATCCCTAACTGAATCTTGTTCTTCATCTTCTTTTCAATTTAATTTTTTTTATCCTTTCCTTAAGAGTGCAAGAACTCCAAACTGTAATTTATGGGAATGGATGGAAGAGGATGAGTACAAAGCAGACAAGAACAATGATTTGGGACAAATCTACAACCTAACATTGAAGGTTGGAATTTGGAAAATTAAATTAGTATATGTAGGAAGAATTTGGAAGAAGAGAAGAATTGTGATTTGGTTTTCAGACAAGAACTGGACAAAGTCAAGTGGAAGTTGTTTACTCATAAAGTTACACTGTTTATGTTATTTTTCTTATATGTTAAAGATGTAGTTTTTAAAGTTTGATGTGTTCTTTGTATCCTATTTGATGTATTCTGACTAAATCATGTACTTCATGAAGTTTTGTATGCAATGAAAGTTTTGACTAAAGCATGTGTTTGAGTTAATGTAGCATAATTTTCATGCATCATGACTAAAGTTTGATGTTTAATACTTGATGTATTATGATCAAATTGTATACAAACATGTAAATGAACTTGGGGAAAAGATGTTAATGATAGGGAACACGAATGGCATTATAAACATCACAAATGACATTACCATTAAAGACAATAAAATGTAATGTATAAAAACATCTAAATAAACATGTACTTAAATGAAGATGTTAAAGTACCAAAATATTCCCAAACATACATGACCCAAGATGTTAAAGTACCAAAATATTCCAAAAGATGTGTCAAGTTTGTCCTATTGTGCCAAAAGCTATTACAAGACCCAAGATTCCAAAACATGCATACCAAAACAAGACATTAAATTCAAATCTCCAGTGGGTGTTCATTACTGCTTCCCTCTTTCCTCCTTATGTTCTTCCTTAGCCTAATCTTTGTAATTTTTTCTGAACTTTTTACTGTCCTCTTCCTAACTTGAATTTTTGCGTTGTCTTGAATTTCCTATTCCACGTTAACTTGAACTTCTTCTTGAATGTTAACTTGAATTTCATGTTCCACTTCATCTTGAATCTCTTCTTTAATGTTATCTTGAACTAAAGGAACTTCAATGTTAGCATCTACTTCAGGAGCTTCATGAACTTCAATGTTAGCCTCCACATCAACTTCAGGAACTTTAATGTTAGCCTCCATATCAACTTCAGGAACATCAACATCGGGAACTTTAATGTTAGATTCCACGTCACTTTCAAAGTTACTATCACTTTCACTTTCAAACATAACTGCATGTTCCACTTCCAATTCATCTTTAAGGTCTACGTGAACATCAAATTTACCTGTAAGAGGGAAAACGTTCAACAATGACACACACGTGTAATATATTAGATAATTTAGCACCATACCTTGTTTCTTAGGTATCTATTTTTAGAACCTAAAGTAGATGGTACATCATTTGGTCTTTGAGGACATGTTGATCTGTTATTGTGACAACCCGAACCTTTTTCCGTCAAAGTTAGCCATTTTCCGTTATATAAATTTCACATTTTTATTTGTTCCGTTAAATTTCTATGGTTTGGAAAATCATTTATGTTTTATATAATTAAATTTATATACGAGGCGGAACCAAAAATCGCGCGAAAACCTGAAATTCCTTCAAAAATTAGCAGTTTCCAGCCTGACTGGTGTTCACTATCGTAAACTCGATTACGATCGTAAACTAGTTCACGGCTGGTGGACCCCACCACCGACCATGAACCCCCCCTTTATATATGTGTTTCTTACCCTCATTTACACTTTTCTGGCCGAAAACTCCCCCATTCTCTCTCTAACTTCTCAACCGTAAACACCAAAATACATTCTTTTCTTCCAAAAATCATTAAGAATCACCTTTAGACTCTACTTCAAAATTGTACCCTTTGGTATACTAAACTAAATCCTATCATAGTATAACTAGAGTCTCCTGGAGGGAGAGTGTGATATTTGTGAATAGATCTATTCGGGACTGACAATACCACACTTGAACTACTAGTTAAAGTTAGGCAGGCATGCATGGGGTGACAAATGTCATATATCCGACACTTGAAGAACGTCGTAAAGGTCTCTAGGTCATATCAAGCATGGTTATACGACTCACAATGGTATAAACCAACCTTTGTTTACGGGATTTCAGTATTCATTAGTTTTATTTTAATTAATAGAACTACTATACACTACTGGAGGATTCCAAAGGATACAATACATGGTTTTATTTTAAGTAATGAAACTGTTATACATATTGGTGGTGACTAGGATTTTCAAATAGAACATTCTATACATATTGGTGGTAACTAGGGTTTTCAAACAGAACATTCTATATATTACTGGTAATAGCCATGGTTTTTATACAAAGGGTTTTTTCATTCAAAACAACGATATCCAATATAGCTGGTGGTAACCAAGCATACGAATTAATACATTATACACTACCACAGAACACAGTAACAAACATATATATTAGAAAATATTGGATTTTCTTAGGAAGCATACAAACATTTTTATAGAATTCAATGATAGGTTTTCACTACATAAACATACTTATGAACTCACCGGCTTAATGCTGATACTCTTTCAAAATTGTTTGCATTCTCAGGAAATCAGTAGACAGGTACTCCCGTAAGATTTTGAGAAGACAGAGCGTATAGAGTCACGTCTTTTATATTTTGTTATACATTTGATGTATACAAACTATTTATCAAACAGATGTGAATATTCATTTCTTAATGTAATAGTTGTGCTTACTTTAATTACTATGATGTAATTTTTGTGATACTATACATGACGTCCTCCACCCTCGAACGTTTCCATCGTTTCGATTTGGGGGTGTGACAATTATGTCCTCTTTCCCTACAGATGGTACATATCATGATCATTCCCTTTTTTGAGACGGTATGCCTTGTTCCCTTAACTTCTCTTTAAACCCGATCCCTTTTCCTTTTCATTGTTGGTCTTTCAGGTTCCCTTTTTTTAGGGGGAAATGGTTTGGTGTAATCCATTTCAGGACACATAGCACTATAGTTCAGTGGCCTGATGTTATACCTATATCAACTTGCATACATTGATGTAGTAAACCATTATGAGACATAGTCCTCAGGGTCCCTATTAAGGCTTGAAATGGCAGCATATCCATGTAACTGCCATGCCATGCATCCACATTGCCTGGTATGAAGGTCTACAGCATATCCATTAGTCCCACCCTCACATCAAATTGCATATACCCAAAAGGTACCACTTGCAAAAACCTATCCATAATCATATAAAAATTAGAAAATATTTAAAATGTCAAACATATAAGCAATAAGAATTTACCTTTGTTGTTCCTTGAGCTTGTTTAACTTCAACCTTATGGAAGGACAAATGTTTAAATCCCAAGATTGACCCTTGGTCTTGTATATACATAACATTTCCATTACATAAATCCGGATTTCTTATAACATGTTAATGAGTGGTTTCTTCCTAGTAGCTTCAATGACTGACTTAAAACTTTCAGAAACACCATTTTCATATGCATCACAACTCCTATCAACCTGATAACATGCTTTACACCATGTTTTACTGTCCCTTTCCATCAAATGTTCATAAGCTAGTGGTTCCAGCTTCTTGATTTCATTCATATGGAACTCAATTTTTTGTGGAATTGTTGATCCAGCAGCTCTTTAAAACAACTTTCTAAATATTTTACCCTTAAATCTTTTTTGTAAATTAGCATAGATGTGCTAGCACATTGCTTATGCTCTGCAGCTGGAACCCTTTCCTTCACATCTTCAACGAATCCCTATAATCAATACATACAAAGCATAAGCTAAAACATATTAAGTATGGAAAATAACAATCATTAAAGCTTGAACATTACCTTGTGTTGGTCGGATATTATGGTTAGTCCATGCCCAACTCCCATTCCAATGTCATCAATTAGAAGATCAAGAAACCACTTCCATGTTTCTTTATTTTCTACTACAGCCACAACCCATGCAACAAGATATATATGGTTGTTTGCATCCCTCTCAATGGTTGGAAGCAATTGATCTCTGCATATGCCCTTTAAGAAACAACCATATACTCCAATTACCCTCCTACAACCCTTTATCCATCCATCCTTCAAACCCTTTAAACACACATAAAAATTTGAGAAGTATGTTTCTCCATCAGGCATCACATCCACCTCCATCTTAACTGTTGATCCAAAATTTGTCCTTTTTAACTCTTATCCATAGCTCCATGTTTGGGCATAATGCTCTATTAAAGCACCTTCTATCTGTTGAAATACATATTTCCTAGCATTTCTGCATTGTCCAACACTTGCTATCAGGTTAAACCTTTTACTGACCTCAACTTTCAATTTCCTAATGCTTATCTTTGGTTTCTGTAATATCTCATTCATGAAATGAGTTCCAATCCATTTGTAGCTTACAATGGACCCAAATTTGAATACTATTGCATAATTAAAGTTGAATACTCTTGCATAATTATGCCTATCAATTAAGAACTTAATCTAAAAAGACCTCTCATTCTTCATCCATGTTGCCCACAACCTAAAGGGACAACTCTTATGCTTCTTATGTTTACAACATTTTGCCAACAACTTTTGATGAGCATTTTATTCAACCCATAAATCATACCCATTCTTGACGGCATAGTTGCTTAGACATAACTTCAATTCAAGAGGGTTGGAAAACTTCCTAGCTAAAAATGGGACAATTTTATCCCATTCTTGATTCTCATCAAAGATAGTGAACACAACCCCATCATCTTCATCGTTGACTTCATCATCATTTACTTCTTCTTGATTACTATTAAGAATGGGTTTACCACATAACTTGTTCAAAAATTCATCATCAAATGTTTTGTCAAAAGTATGCACTTCTTTATCAGGTTCATGATCACATTCTATTATATCTGAAATTTATGACTCTGTATCATCATCTTCTATAAACTCAGACACATCATCATTGTTAACATCTCCTTATCGGCCCAGTCAAGAATAGGTTCGTTTTGGTGGACAATGTACACATTCATCCTTAGCTCGTTCTTAGCCATGTAACCATCTTCAATAAACTCAAAATAATAAGCATCATTGTCGATTCTTCTAATACCCTCTGCCAATCTTTAATGAGTACTACAATAGTACAAGTTATCATAGATTCTTCTTGTCAGCTTTGAAACCCACAACACAAATTCTCTATAATCCATGCCACCAAAATCCACATCACGAACTGACATTCTCATAGGGTCTAAGTACACTAACGGGTTTGGTGCCAACATGTTGTTTTAGTGAATCTACAGTGAGATACGTACCGTTAGGCGATTCCATTGTAGTGTCTATAGTTGTAACGACCCAAATTCTACAAAGACAATTTTCATTTTTAATTGATAAACACACTTGCATAAACCATGAAATTCCAACATATTTGTTTTCAAGTCCACATTCATTACAACTTTGTTTGAATCATCAGAGTGTCCCAAAACATATTAGTGAAAAATAGAGATAGAGTGCACGCCCAGCCATCACGCCTTGCCCTTGCCCTTAGGCTTAGATGTACCTAAAACAAATATACAAACGGTACGCTTGAAAGCTTAGTGAGTTCCCTAGAGCATACCCACACACAAACACGTAGAACATATCATACTAGCTATCAACTATACAAACACATAATCCATGTAACCAACACATAAGGAAGCCTTGGAAACCCTCCAGGGTCTTACTCCGGGTGTCATGGGAACCCCCACATGGTCTTAGCCCAATTCCTCGGGAACCCCCCGAGGTCTTTGACTTAGGATGCCAAAGAAACCCTCCAAGGTCTTACACATAAGTGCCTCGGGAACCCCCCCCCCCCTGAGGTCTTTGACCTAGGATGCCAAGGAAACCCTCCAAGGTCTTACACCTAAGTGCCTCGGAACCCCCCCCCCCCTAAGGTCATACATAATACATAAATACAACTAGCACATTACATATCAATTAATCCAAGTAGCGTATGTGTAACAATTAATGGGCCGACCTTGGTGCCTTCGATCCATTGGTATGGTGAGGAGACTCTCCTCTGTCTGCTGAATACCAAAGCTGCTCTCCTAACAGTTCGAATCTCCCCTGCTGAATAATAATATTAATCAATGTTAGGACCTTATACTAGTCAAAGGATAAACCCAAACTCCAAACCCATCCATGAGGCCCAATTATCCTTCCCTTGTTGATGGGCCCAAAATCCAAGTCTAAAAATTATTAATGGGCCTCTTGGCCCAATAGGGCCCAACCAAAGTACCTATGGCCCATAACAAATGAAATAGCCCATAATTCACATAATGCAATAAATCCAATAACCAAAATGAAGCCCAAAATAGATCTGGCCCAATCTGAAGTGCGTACGCTGGGCGTACCATTCTAGTATGCGCAACGTACTGGGATCTTAAGGACTACGCGCAACGTACATTGAGTACGCCCAACATTCTTCCAGATCAAGCACTTTCTCCATTAAGTGCTTAATACCCGATTCCTTTACGTCCAAAAGCCAGATCTGAGTTGTTTAATACGTCCTAAGGCATAAAGTTGCCAACTTTATGCCTTTGCATGCCTCATATACACCTGGAACCTTCATTAAGACCTTTCTAAGGTCTTTAGCCCATGCATGAGACCAATACTTCCACCAAGGCTCAATTTTTATGCTTCTAAACGACCAAGGGACCTCAGATCTGCCATTATCCTCTCATGGAGTTGCTTAACTCGCTAAAAGAGATCCAAAATCCAACAAAGGGACAAAACTAGAAAACCCTAGCGAAATCTAAAGATTTAAATGGAAAGGTGTAAGCTTTTTACCTCCAGAAGCCTTGCAAGATGACCCAATGTAGATTCTTGAAGCACCAAACTGATCCAAGCTTGCTTAACAACTCTCCTTCTTGAAAGAACTCCAAAATAGCTACCAAAACCTTCTTCTTAGGCTCTAACTCTCACTCACACACTAACTCAGCTGTAGGAAGACGAAATGGGGCTAAAGAGACCGATAGGGTTTGGTCTAAGAGGCTAAGAGACTTTTAAATAGGGGATAAGTTTGAGATTTAGGGTTTTGATCCTCTGATGCGTACGCCCGGCATACCCTCACGTACGCCCAACGTACGTGAGGCTCCTCCACGATCATTCATGCAGAGTACGCTAAGCATACTTATAGGTACGCCCAACGTACTCAAAGGACCAATTATGCTAAAACATAAACTCTTTAGGGTTTCAAGACGTACCAGGTTTAGGGTGTTACAACAGTCGACGATTTCAAGTCCCAACTTCAGTTCCTACTGCTTCGATCCAGTGAATTCTGAGAAAAATTAATTAACTGGGAACGATTAGAGGAAAGATTTGAGAGTATTTGTTAAGAACCCTAAATAAATGAGGTCGATTCACCTGATTAAACGAAGTCGAATCCGGTAAAAGGGTGTAATAGACACGTCATATGCCACATAATTTCTTTTCCCTTTCTTTTAAATGAGTTAATTTGAGTTACCAGTTAAAATGGAAGTTAGCCGGTAATATTAGTATAATTTAAACAGTTAAAACAACTTAGTTGTTTTCTTATTTACAAAAAAAAGAGTTGTCAATATGTGAACACGAATAAAAGATAGTTGTCCTCCTAAGTCAGTTTCCCAAAATGTTTGGCAAACACAAAAACATTTTTCAGAATAACTTTTACATTAGCTTCAAAAACATGTTTTAAAAAACATATAAAACTTGGATTTTTTTAACCAAAATTACTTCAAAAATAATATTTTAAACCAAATACTTTTTAACTTATATATTTTTTTACCATAAACATTTTTTTTAAATAAATTATTTACCCATTTAAATCAATAAATACTTAAAAACACTATGAGAGTTAAAAAGGAATCCTATAAACACCCTCCTAAAACCATTCCAAGATTTGTTTCCGAATAATTAACGGAGGGACCAAATATGAAGGACGCCTAATCTTTGAGGTAATTTTCGAAAATAAGATAGAAAGACAAGTGCGGTCAAAACGGTGAAAAAAAAAAAGCTGAAACAACGCGTTGGTTTTGGTTCTCTCGGACAAAGAAATAAACAAACGCAGCTGTCTTTTCCCCATATATGGTCTCTTCACAGCTTCGGCTTCACCCACCATAACTTCAAAGGCTTCCCCAGTTAACAACAATGGCACATGAAGTTGCCAACCACCGTCTCCTCCTCTGTCTCCTCTCCTGTCTCCTCCTCCTCCTCTCTTTCTCCGCCGCCGATGATGCCGCCGTCATGTCTAAGCTCGCCGCCTCCATCTCACCCGCCCCATCAAGCTGGACAGGCACTGATTTCTGTTCATGGAATGGAATCAACTGTGACAACTCCAATCCCAAACGTGTCACCGCCATTAATCTCGCTTCCAAATCTCTCACCGGAAACCTCCCTTCCGACCTGAACCAGCTCTCCCAACTCAAAACCCTCGCCCTACAAAGCAACTTCCTCTCCGGCGATTTACCTACCTTAGCGAATCTGACTTTCCTCGAATCAGTGTTCCTCGATGGCAATAACTTCACTTCTATCCCATCGGATTTCTTTCTGGGTCTGACGAATCTACAGAGTTTTAGCATTTCAGACAACTTAGATCTGTCTTTTTGGGTTCTTCCCAATCATCTCATAGATAGCAGCAATCTGCAGACGTTTCAGGCGAGTAACGCGAAGATAATGGGATTCATCCCGGACATCTTTGATAGTTTCCCTAATTTGCAGAATCTCCGACTGTCTTACAACAATCTCACCGGAAACCTACCGAAGAGTTTTGGGGGTTCCGAAATCCAGAATCTATGGCTCAACAATCAAGAAAGTGGACTTTCTGGTACGCTTGATGTGCTTTCGTCAATGACACAACTTTCTCAAGTATGGCTACAAGCTAACGCATTCACCGGTGCTATTCCGGATCTCTCGAAATGCACTAATCTAAACGATTTACAACTCCGGGATAATCAGTTCACCGGAATCGTTCCTCCGTCGCTGATGTCTCTTCCCCAATTATCAAAGATTTCACTACGAAACAATAAGTTGCAAGGTCCATTGCCTGTGTTTGGCTCTAATGTCACCGCCGATATCACTTCCAATAGCTTCTGTTCACCTAATCCGGGACCATGTGATCCACAAGTAACGGCGCTCCTCGAGGTCGCCGGAGCAGTTGGATATCCGATGTCGTTAGCGGAATCTTGGCAAGGAAACAACGCCTGCGACAGCTGGAGCTTCGTTACCTGTGATTCTTCCGGGAAGAATGTCACCTCCCGTGAGCTTATCCAGGCAGAAACTTTCAGGTACGATTTCACCGGCGTTCGCAAATTTGACTTCGTTAAGAAGTTTATCATTAAACGATAACAATCTCGTTGGCATTATTCCTTCAAACTTAACATCCTTGCCGAATCTGCAACTTCTTGATCTATCCAACAACAATCTCTCCGGTGCTATACCATCATTCCCACAAAACGGAATAAAGTTTTCACATGATGGCAATCCATTATTAGGTCAAGACGTTCCAATTGGACCTCCGGGCCCACCTGGATCTACACCGAGCTCCACCGATCCCGGTAAAAACCCATCTGGCTCCTCAAAAGGGTCCCCCGTCTCCGGCGGTATGATCGCCGGAATCGTCATCGGCGTTCTTGTCTTTCTCGCAATCGTATTCTTTGTTTTCTTCAAGTGTTGCGCGAAGAAGAAACACCAAAAGTTCGGTCGTGTTGAGAACCCAGAAATCGGTCAAGAATTGATGAAACCAAGCGTCATCGGAACCAGTTCAAACGGATTCAATGGCGGATTTAGCGAGTTGCAGAGCCAGAGCTCCGGCGACCATAGTGAAATGCATGTTTTCGAAGGGGGTAATGTCGTAATTTCAATTCAAGTTCTCCGACAAGTCACTGACAATTTCAGTGAAGATAACATACTAGGAAGAGGTGGATTTGGGGTCGTTTACAAAGGGGAATTACACGATGGAACAAAAATTGCAGTCAAAAGAATGGAATCGGGTGTTATGGGAACAAAAGGGTTAAACGAATTCCAAGCTGAAATTGCGGTTCTCACTAAGGTTAGGCATAGACATTTAGTGGCGCTTCTTGGGTATTGTATCAATGGAAATGAGCGACTTTTGGTGTATGAGTATATGCCACAAGGGACTTTAAGTCAACATTTGTTTGAATGGAGTGAACATAAGACACCTCCACTTAGTTGGAAACAAAGGGTTTCGATTGCTTTAGATGTGGGAAGAGGGGTTGAGTATTTGCATAGTTTGGCACAACAAAGTTTTATTCATAGAGATTTGAAACCTTCGAATATTCTTCTTGGTGATGATATGAGGGCTAAAGTTGCGGATTTTGGTTTGGTTAAGAATGCACCGGATGGGAAGTATTCGGTTGAGACAAGACTTGCGGGGACTTTCGGTTATCTTGCACCCGAGTATGCTGGTGAGTACTAAATCTTTTTTTTTTTTATTATTATATATAATTTGTTTCAAGATTAATAATCTTATGTTTATGCAAAAAAAGGGTTTAGCAACCCTACAACACTAGGTGCAAAAGGTGTTGATGCAAGTTGCAACTAAAAAGGAAAACTTTTTTACACATTTGGTTTGGAGATTAGTAATCTTTAATGTTAGATGCAAGTTGCAACTAAAAAGAGTGTCTTTTTACACATTTTGTTTCAAGATTAGTAATCTTTAATGTTCTATGCAATGCAAGCCAAGAAGACAAGTTTTCTACACATTTTGTTTTAAGGGTAGTAACCTTTAGTTTTTATGCAAGTAAAAAGACAACCTTTACCTTTTACATGTTTTGTTTCAAGATTAGTCATCTTTAATGTTCCATGCAACTAAAGAGACAATCTTTTTAAATTTTCATTTCAAGATTGGTAATCTTTAATGTTCCATGAAACTAAAAAGACCATCTTTTTACACTTTCGTTTCAAGATTAGTAATCTTTAATTTTCCATGCAACTAAAAAGACAATCTTTTTACACCTTTCTTTTCAAGATTAGTAATTTAATTAATATTTTCTTCAAAAAAAAGGTTGTTTTTAAAAGCACATATTGTCCCATGGCCTACTAGGTGGCTGGCACCCTTGTGCTAATCTTTATTGTTCCAACAAAAATATGATATTTTTAAACATTTCATTTCAAGATTTGTGATATTCAATGCTAATTTTTGTCAAATTTTCATGATCAAAATAGCAACCGGAAGAGTGACAACAAAAGTGGATGTTTTCGCATTTGGAGTCGTGTTAATGGAGTTAATAACGGGCCGAAAAGCCCTAGACGAAACCATGCCCGATGAGCGGTGTCATTTGGTGACATGGTTCCGAAGAGTCCTCATCTCAAAAGAAAACATGCTAAAAGCCATTGACCAAACCCTAGAAACCGAAGACGAAGAAACACTAGATAGCATTTCAAAAGTAGCAGAGCTCGCGGGCCACTGTACGGCCCGCGAGCCCTTCCAGAGACCCGACATGGGTCACGCAGTGAACGTGTTGGGTCCTCTGGTCGAGCAGTGGAAACCTTCTCGACCAGAGGAAGAGGATGGCTATGGAATCGACCTCCATATGAGCCTTCCTCAAGCCCTTCAAAGATGGCAAGCCGATGAGGGCACTTCTAGAACATTTGATATGTCTTTTAGTCAAACGCAATCGAGTATTCCCTCTAAGCCTTCGGGATTTGCCGACTCTTTTGACTCGATGGATTGCCGATGAATCCAATACACAGATATATTTCGTGATATTTTTTCATTTTTTATGGGTAAGATTGAAATTGAAAAGTATGTTGTTAACTTGTTATTATTGTTTGCAATGGTAGTGCTCAAATGATGCATTAGATAGTTGTACCTTATGCAGAAGCATGCACTACGATTTGTTTGTTGCTTAAAATGTATAATAGACCATGTCGCTTTTACATTTCCAAGTTCTTAATCTCATCAAATATAGTATGAGAATTTTAATGTTAATATGGATTCAACTTATTATATTTGTGCTAATTTGATGTATAAAATAAAAATACTTACAATATTTAAACATATTGACAAGTTAAAATCAGCTTGAAAATCTTAACATAACCAACAAATTTAAATAAACCGTTGAAAATTACATTAGCTATACATTTTGCATAGAAAGTATTACATGACCAAGTCTTAGGGTTTATGCTATAATAACATGTATAACATGCATTAAAACATGTCCATTTGTCAAGATTTGTTATGTTGCTAAAATAATTGACCATTCAAAAAAGAGGCAAGTGGATTGGAATGATCTCTTCCAGCCTGTGGAAGTGGGATTCTGCAACTAGCCAGCTAATTTGACATGTGTGGGTCCCATCGAATCACCATAGGAGAAACAGAAAGCTTTTAGCTATGTATGGAATATTTGTTCGGCCTTTTCTTTAAAAAGCAATTCGAGATCAGTTTCGAAAAGGTGTGATATTCCAAATAGCTTTCTTTATGAGTTAGTATGTTGTAGGTTATAGAATCTTGATCTCAATTTGCTTTAGTTATGCATTGTCAGTTGTACAGTACACGTCATCTCATCCCAAGTAGCATTATGCATTGACAACTTGTAAAAAATGCGAAGTTATGGGGTTTGTATACGTGTTTTAATGTCCTGTTGACTACATGTTTTGTAGCTGTTCACATGAATTTAATGTTCGGCGATTATAATTATATATACATATAAATTAATTTTGGAAGGCCAAGATGAATAGTAAAATGAGCTTTGGTGGTTGAGATATTGAACACAATAATTTGTGATATTGGTAGTTTTGGTCCTTTAAATTATTGTTTGGCTTCTGATGGAAGGGTTGGAACTGTGAAACCGATACACCTACTTCCTTCTATTTTCCACCGCCTTCATGGATACGTGTCCTTGTAGAAAATGATGGAGGCTCCACGTTTCTTCCACTGATTAATTATCAATGTTCTCGATCTTCTTTACCTCAAATCACACCCTCACTTCACCTTTCTTTCATCTGAATGAAATCGAAACACATACCTTGTTTTACTCCCTCTCATGATCGACTACATCGATTTATGTCTATTTTGTTCCAATTTTTTTGGGGTTGATTTCTTCTGCTTCATTTCCCATTTTTCTCTATTTCTCCGTGTGTTCATCTTTTGTGTTTGATTTTGCCATTTCCCTAAGATATAACAATCGTTTGAGTTCAAGGGATGGATTCGAAACGAAACAGAAAGCGAACGATTATCCTATGTTGCTGTGTTAACAGAAACAAAAAAAGGAAAAGTTAGCCGCCGATTCAGAAAGAAGCAACCCCGTGCTGTATCGATACTGTTCAACCCTAATTTCTTCAAGTCTTCATTCTACGAAATATTTCTGAGAGGTAAATTGTAAACCCTAAGTATAAATTCTGAAATTACTTGGATTTTGTTGTCTGCCTGTGGAATCACAGTCACAATTGATAGTTAGGAAAGGAAAACCCGAACAATCCATGAAGCTAGGTTTTTTTCACTTAGTTAGTCTCTGAAAAAAATATCTTTTTGTTTTGTTTGTTTGCATGTCTAGGTATATAATTGAAAGGTCTAGTATGCTCAAGAGTCATATTAAAGTAATATTGCTAATTAACATATGATCCTAAAGGTCACACTAACAATTTGATACAATTGATTATTTATTAGAAATCGATTTTACGAAATATTTAATAAAACTCTTATAATTAAATTGAAAATTATTTATTGGAAATAATAATTTTCATTAGCAAGTAATATTACATAATTCATATGGTATGATTAATAAGTTGTGTACAACTTTTTGGACTAGTTGAAATCCTTTT